GACGAGTTCTATGTCACCGCAGCTTACCTTCATGCTCGCACCCCGTCCAGGTCTCAGGGCGGAAGGACGCCTTACGAATGCTACCACCTGCGGAAGCCCGACCTCAGCCACCTTCGAAATAGGCTGCCGCGCTTTTGTGCTTATTCCTGGGCATAACCCCAAACTGTTTGCTCGGTCGTTGGAGTGCGTGCTTATTGGCTATACACCACGCTCAAAGTCGTACCGATGCTGGGAGCGATCATCCGGGAAGGTTTACGACTCGATTCATGTCCGTTTCATTGAATCGGCTCAGACTACGCCCATTCGGATCAACAGAGATCTACTACGCTGCCGACTTGCGACACTATCAAACGAGGAACCTGGGACACCAGGAGTGCCCGACGATGAAGCGAGCACCCGTGCTCCCCTGCCTACGTCATCGGTAGCGGCTGACGCGGTTGGGACACCTCCTCCTCCTGGCGCGGACGAACCACGACCCCGTCGCTCCCGCGCGGCTCGCTAAACTACCAGTGGGTGATCAAGCACACGCGGCTGAAGAGACGACGCCCAACGACGATGAGGACCTAGAGCTAGTTCAAGAACGTGCTGCCATCGTCAGCGAGACGCCAGAGGACGACGACGGAGTGGAGACCGCACTGATAGCAGAGATCAACTCGGCGATGGAGCAAGGACCTTTGAATCTCGAGTTCCCCAACGATCCCAAGTCACGCAAGGAGGCTCTTGCGGATGTGGACGCACCCCTCTGGCTGAAGGGGGAGGAGGAGGAGCTGCAGTCCTGGAAAGAGCTCGACGTCTACGACCTCATTCCGCCAGGATCTGCTCCTCCCGGCAAGACAGTACTCAGCCTATGGCCAAGATACTCGCGCAAACGGAACATGGAGAATGTGGTGGTCCGACACAAGGTGCGCTACTGCATCCTCGGAGATCGCCAAATCTATGGCCGAGACTACACCGACACGACATCGCCGACTGCGCGCCTAGAATCCTTTCGCGCCATACTCCACATTGCAGCAGCCCGAGGAATGGACCTTCAGCAGATTGATGTGAAGACCGCGTTCCTGAACGCGCCGCTTCCTGAAGACGAACGACAGTACTGCCGCCAACCCAAGGGCCACGAGCAAGAAGGGAAGGAGAACTGGCTGATGTGTCTGAAGAAGAGCGTCTACGGGCTCCACCAAGCGGGTCGTTGGTGGAATCGGACCTTCAACGAAGCCATGCTCTCCTGGGGTTTCACGCGACTACGATGCGAATGGTGTGTCTATTACCGCAAGCAAGGCAACGACACGGTGATCGTGGTGGTACATGTCGACGACATGCTGTCTGCGGCAACCAACACGGCGGCGAACGACTTCTTCAAGTCTCAACTTCGGTCCCGATGGTCTATTTCTGACTTGGGGTCGGCGTCTTTTTGCTTGGGGATCGCCATAGTGCGTGACCCAGAACGCAAGATGATTAGCCTATCCCAGACAGCACTAATTGACCGTGTTGTCGCCCAGTTCGGGCAGTCTGACGCCCATCCAATATTGACACCAATGGAACCGAAGTTGTGCTTGACACGTCCGGAGCTACCCCCATCACCCGAAGAGTCTGCTCGGCTTGCAAAACTACCTTATCGATCGCTCGTGGGCAGTCTGATGTACATCGCTGTGACGAATATTTATCTCTTTAGACATTTCTTCATTTTACTTTGCGCGGCCCGTGGCCGCGCTTACATCACACTCATTACATAAGCGACATCACAGTATATATACCTTTGATGTAACACTTCGTGTTTTGGTCAATACTATCATCTACGCCTGTCACTTCCCTCGACAATCGACATCGTGTGTCGGGACTAGCAAGACAGCTCCCCGCCACATATTTTTGACAGTCCGCTCCGTCGACACCTTCGCTGGTCCCCTCTGGTCTGATCAACCCGAGCCCCGCCTCCCTGTCGACACCCCCCCATTCACCAAAACACCAAAATGTCGACCTTCGACACTCCCAACTCCCCTCCCCATACCCGCGGGCGGACCCAGGCTGGTCTCGCACCTCCCCCGCCCGCAATTTTCGGCCCCTCGGCCACGGTGCCAACGGACTTGACGGTCTCGTCGAGTCCTGAGGCAAGTGAAGCTTCTGACAGCTTGCACACCCCGGCTGGTTCCCCCGAGGCTCCCTTGGAGCACTCGGAAGGTCCATCGGACACTAGTGGTGGTACCACTACTGGCTCGGCCTTGGTTGGCGACTTGCCGTCTCTGACGAGCAATGTCATTCTGGGGGCATCCCACGATGGCGGTGGCTGGACTACCGTCTCTCGTCGTAACTCGCGGCCGAGCAGCCCGAGATCTACATTGTCGCCTAGATTAACTGATGGAATTGTGATTAATGCTGATGTACCTTCTTCTGAATCACGTTCCACCCTGGCTGAAGCAACCCGCTCCTTGCGAAAGCAGGAGCTTCGAACCCTCATCAGGAAACCTGCAAGCGAGCGTAGAGACCTGTAGAGTAGAACCTTCCATAGCTCAATTGTAGCTCTCCCATAGATGACGTTTGACATGACAGATGCCATCAGTGCTAAGACTTGTCTATGGGTTTCTCCCATCCTCCTGCTCGCTATGCGCCGCCGCGTGCGGTATTGCTCGATGGCCGCCCTATTCCCAGTCGCTGCCTCGTTCATAATCGATGGACTTGGGCTCCATTCCCACTCGCAGTCTTCTTGCTTTACTCCCACCACCACTACACTGGCACCTACCCACCGCACTTCATGGATGCCCGAACACGCGCTGCCTTTGAAGTCGCATTTGCCAGTGCCAGCGGCGTCGACTTATTAGTTGGCTCCCCCACTGCGCCTTCTTCCGACGACAACTACGCTCAGTCTCAGCGCGGGCTCGCTCAGCGCATCTTCGTCCGACGTCATCAGCGCCAACTCGCTGCAAACGAGCAAGAGAGCCGCAACCAGGATGCGGTCGTGGCTCAGAACGAGGATGATGATCGTTTGGGAGACCAACACCACTTGGAGAACGCGCACAGCCCAGAGAATGGACCTTCTCTCAACCAAGGCAGTACTCCGCTCGGCGCATTCGATGCTGGTATCGATTCAGACGACGAGCTTCCCCCGGCCGAAAGCATCATCGCCGGCTGCTTAGGTATTGTCTATCCGAAGACTCGTACCGCTTTGGTCGACAGCCCCACCCACGGTTACAATACCCCGGTCTCCGACTCTGCCGTAGACAACGATAAGCCTTTGCCCAGCTTGCTGGCATATACGCGGTCAGTTTCTTTGTCTTTTCTCACACTCAGTCTCATGTATAATCAGCGCCAGTTTCATTTACGAAAACAATCAGTCCTCTCGCTCGATCAAACAACTTCTCGCGCTGAGTGAACAGGCCAACGAAAAGAACCAGCAGCTCCGCCAAGAGATCGAACGACTCAAGGCGCATATCCACATGTTGCAGGAGGAGAAGGAGGGCTTGAAGGAAGATCTTGCCTTTGCGCAACAGGACGCGGAAGTCAATTTGAAGGCATTGATGAAGCTGCGAAGGGATATCACTCGGGATAACGCTCGCGAGCAACGCTTTTTTTTCGCTTAATTTCAGTGCAGACTCGGACAATGTCATCATTCAAGTAGTACTCAATCACACTTCGTTCTGACTATCTTGCATATTTTGGAGTCTGCGACGCGTAGTATACAGTACTTGTGAACTGCAAATGCAAATAAAAAGAAAGGACAGCCATTAGGGCTGGTATGTGGTACAGGATCGGATCGTACAGAGGTTTTAAGGAGTGAAGGAAAGATATTTATTACCTAGCGCTCGGAGTAAAACATCTCCTTGCATGTCTCGCATCGCTCCCAGAGTAGAGCGCTCATCCCCATGCTGCGGACTATGCCACGCGCAATGCGTATGTTTTCTGTCGCCGTCTCGAGCTCGATAGTGGCCTCTTGAACAGAATTCTCGAGCAATTCGCAGTAGAGATTGGTTTCGTGAAGTTTCCCAAGTGTCGCACGCAGCTCCATTTCGCAAGCACCCTTGTCGGTATGCAAGGCGGCCACCATCAATCCCTCTACCCCTCGTATCTCGGAGTCACTAGTTGTCGAGGGAGGCTGAATGTGTATTAGCACAAATGTCTGTAAAATTTGAATCCACGCACATTCTCATCTTGCAGCGGAGATTGGGAGATGCGCTCATCTGCATCCGACAACTTTTTCTCCGACTGCTGGACTAGCTGCTGAAGCACTTGTCGATAGAGAGTAGCTTCATGGAGTTTCATTGAAACAGCATCGAGCTCGAGCGCGCAGACATTCTTGTGCGTGCGGATGGTGTGCAAGAATAATTCTGCACTGGCGGGGTTCTCGGGTGCTGCAAAAATTGCTTTGCGAAGGAGGCCAGGGAAGACCTGTTATGGGGGGTTGGTCGTCATAACTTCATGGGACATGGAATTAGGATCTTACCACGCGCTCTGTGCGTCGACCAGGCTGAGTACTCTCTCCAACGACGTCCTTAAAGCTTGGTGGGCGAAGCATGGTGAGGTAGGAGTCGGAGGAGTCGCGACCGGCTCGCGGTAGTGGTGGAAAGACTGGAACTTGAAGGTGGATGGATGGGTGTAAGATGCATGATGCCGTGGAGTCACGTTTTCACGTTTGTTGATTCAAGTCTTCACGTTCAGCCAACTGTGTGCAAAACTATCTGAGGCTACTAGTACTATCGGGCATCTTTATGCCTTCTTGCTTCTCGTATCATCGCGCATACCAACGTCGAACAACATTTCCATGTCCCGGCCCACGTTGTAGCCGGGTATTCGACACAAAAACGAAAGTCTTGCAACATCTTAATCACCCGCGGTCCTCCTGTGTTGCTTGGTCTCGCGAAGCAACATCTGCAATTGCCTCTGGGGGGCCCAATGCTGACTCATACCGCAACCGTTTCGAGCAATCCTTTGGGACTCGGACCCGCTCGACAACGCTTCAAGTTGTCTCCGAGTTGGAAGGCGGCAATCGTCAGGCGGGAGCGGACACATTGCAAATGCCGAATACGAGTACAGCTCCAGAAGGCGACTATGATATCCAACTCGAAGAATGTCCACAAACATCGGAATATCAGTATGTTGGTGCATCTCAAACAAGGGAGGGCGGCAAGGGCTTCACGGACTGGGTGGAGGAGGATCAATTCAACGGCTTGCGGACGGACAACCTGTTCTATCCATTCGTTGGAGACTTGGAGTGGGAATTTTCCGACTTTCTCGCTCATTCAAGCCTCACAATGAAAGAGATTAACGAGTTGTTGAATCTCAAACTTGTTTGTGCTCCTTATATTCCATGGTAACCCAAGTCTCACTACCCAGAATAGGTTCGCCAATACCTTGCGCCTCATCTTTCCTACAAGACCGCCAAAGAGCTGCGTCATCGCATCGAATTATTGCCGACAGGACCAAGGTGGCACTCGCGAACAATCTCATATCCGGGTTTCCCAACAAAAAAGCCAATCGTTCTATTCTACCGTAACTCGTTGGAATGCATTCAACTCCTTCTTCGCAACCCGCTCTTCAAGAACAACATTGACTTCGTGCCCACTCAGTTGTTCCAGTCCGGCGAGCGCATTCATAAAGAGTGGATAAATAGTGACAGTGCCTGGAAGATGCAGGTTTGTTATCTCCACCGGACTACTTCCACTCGCTCATAATGACTTAAAGGAAGCGGTTCCCCCTGGCCATACTGTCCTTGGGGTCATCGCAAGCTCTGACAAAACGAACATCTCCGTCATGAATGGCGACCGTGTCGCTCACCCATTTTTACTCTCTTTGGCCAACTTGCACAGTGACATAGCGAGGAAAGCATCCAACCACGCATTTCTCATGGCTGCACTTCTTCCAGTACCCAAATTCCTCTGCGCAAAGAATTTACGGAGCGTGATGGAAAGCCGGCTCCTCCATCATTGCCTGGACGTTATTTGCGACCCTCTCAAAATCGCGGCTCGAGATGGGGCTCTCTTGTCGAAATCGGATGGCTCACTCATCTATGCGCATACGCCACTAGTTTCTTACATCGTCGACACCCCCGAAGCCGCCGATATTGCCTGTGTTAAAGCGAAAACCTCCCATTTGACGACCGCATCGCATCATACATTTGGAGACAATTTCCGCCATCCAGAACGAACCGGTGAGAATACCTGGGTAGCCATATCCTCCATCTCTGCAACAGTTGCTCCGCATGATGTTGCCGCATATCAGAAGGCTTCCAAAGCCCACTCATACAGACTCAACGGTGTCCACCTCCCATTCTGGCGAAACTGGCCTCTTTCCACAAACCCTGCGAGATTCTTGACGCCCGAAGTTCTCCATCACGTCCATAAAGCCTTTTACGACCATGACTTCCATTGGGGACGCAATATCATAGGCGATGCAGAACTCGATTTCCGCCTCCTCGCTCATCCACCCCCGTTCTGGTGTACGACATTTCAAGGAGGGGGTTACCCGGCTCAAACAGCTTGGTGGTCGTGAGCATCGAGAGCTTGAACGCTCTTTCATTTCTATCATCGCTGGTGCTGTCCCACGAGAGGTTCTCCTTAGCCTTCGTGCATTGATGGACTTTCGATTTATTGCCCAATCACCGCAGATTAGCGAAACAACTATCGCTCGCATGAATCAATGCCTTGCAACTTTTCATGAGCACAAGCAACATATCATCGACAGCGGTGGCCGGGAACAAGCCCATTTTGCGATACCGAAACTCGAATTTCTTCACAGTATCGTCCCTAGTATTCGATGGGCGGGGACTCCCATGCAATATACGGCGGATATTACCGAGAAGGCACATAGCACTCAGATTAAAGTCCCCGCTCGAACGGAGACCAATCATCGCGACTACGACCCTCAAATTGTTCGACATCTCGATCGAGCAGAAAAGCTTCGTCTATTTGGCCTTTACACTGGGATCAAATCTGAAAAACTCAAGCTCGAGATGATGGAGGACGACAATTGTGAAGACGAGGATGAAGAAGAAAGTGCGACACAGATCGAAGGGCCTTCACTTATCGGCGAATCCTCGCGTCCAGCGCGAAACTTGTTCAAGGCAGCCGATCTCTATCCTCTCCTCTATCCACAGACAGAGAGTCGGTTCACAACTACCGCCTCAGCCGCCTTCCTTCTCAATCGTCGTCCTGCCTTTTCCAAGATTTCCATTGAGGATGTTGCCCAAATGTATCAGCTGAATGATCTTCGCGTCGCACTCGGCGATTTTTATGGACAGATTCGGAGCACAGCTCACAACCCTTTTCTGGGTGGTCGACGTCGACAGCCTGCCAACTGCGAACTACCATTTACACATCTTGAGGTCTGGTATTCGCTTTGTTTCCAGGGCAAGGCACCGCACACTGGTCAACCCCTTCCATCTCAGCTGCTGTTTGGTCAACCATCTCATGTGGATTCAACGTGGTCCGTCGGGCGATATGATTCAGTGCTACTATCGAATTCTCTTGATGCTTGCTGGCCGGGGAAAGGATTTCGGGACGGGCTCCGAGGTAGGACTATCCATCTGCATTTTCATTCCATCTTCTCATGAGCATAGACCATACAGCCGCGCAGATTCGACTAATAATGCGACCACACTGGCCAGACGAAGGCCATACTGGCGTCAATCCATTTCTAATCTACGCCCAACGATTTGATGTCGTACCACAGCCTACTCCGGATAAGAGAGAAGCAACAACGGGTCAATTCATACTACGACGAGCGTTGAGGGCTGACTCAAATCGGATGGGTGGGGTTGTTGATATGAGACATATCCGAGCACCAATCGAGTTAATCCCTCGTTTTGGTGCAAAGGCAGATGGCCGTTTGACACCGTACACAAGTGTGGAGCACTGCACCGAATTGCGTTTCAATGATCATTCCAGCAAAGAATTGTTTTGGGTCCTCAATTCCATCTCACTTCCTTCATAGTTATCGATGATGCTGAAAATGCCAGTGTATTATACCTGAAATAAAACTTGTTTGTAATGCTTTTAATCTGAAGCAACTTGAAGTTGAAGAGTGCACTCGAAATTGACCATCAACTCGACCATCATCCATCGACCATCAATCAGCTTTCTTCTTCTACCACCACTCGCCCGTCTCATCTTCGCCAACTCGCACGATGCTCAAACGAAGGAGGAGAAGAAAACGCTCAGCAAGCACAAGGTGCAAGATAAGAGGAATGAACTCGAGTTTGAAGCGGAGTGTGTCGTGGTGCCAAAGCTCAGTCCCGGCGCGCAAAAAACCCACTTCTCAGTCAGTGTTTCGCTCTCGAAACACTCTCGGATGGGCTCGATGTATGTGCAATCCTTGTATAGCATCCATAGTCCGAGTCTGACAAAGTGTTAGAACACGGAATCCAATCTAGACCTATTCGACAAATGGGTGTCAGAAACGCCGACTCGCCCCCAAACCCCCCTTCGAAATCCTGCACCCCCAATTTCCTATGCTCCAAAAGCTCCCATCAAGGACAAGAAGCAAGATGAAGAGACCAAAGGCGAAGAATTAGTGCGTAATTGCAGACATCATGATGCGAAACTAACTTCTACTCAGCCTGAAGACCAGCAGCTCAAGAGTGAGCTTGAAATGCTAGCAGAGCAGCTGAAGGTGTGTGCGATCTCGTCATTCAATCCACCACTGGCTAACACAGTCCAGGAAATCAATGCTGACCTCTATAAACCGGCGCTGAAAGCTCCTTGGGCTCCCATTCGCACATTCACCTCCTCGATTCCAAAACCACTCAAGTTTCTGCACCCGTTGTACCCCGGCCTTCAAGCACCCTATGAAACATGGGAGCCATCCGAAAACAAGGTAGATTTCGCGGTCTTTTCACGTTTTGAATCTAAACCATTACGCAGTCTTTATTTGCATACATCTTATCGGTCTTGGCCATGACTTATTCGGACACCCAACCACGAGGCACTCTTCGTTTACTGGCAGCAGAAATGCGGCCAGCAGGCTCGCCGCTTTCCGACCCTGGATCATGGGGGCACGAATACGTTCGACATCTTGCTGCTGAACTGGGTGACGAATACAATATTCGCGAACAAGAAGATGACGAGGTTGAACCAGTCAAGGATTCATCACCAGTGCTCAAAGTTCCTGGTACATTTGACGACCTCCGTGCCTTGGCGAAAGAATGTGCCGTATTCCTTCTCGACCATAACGCCGAACCGGACGCTATCGATCTTCTTCAAGAGTTGGAAATGGTGGAGGAATCAATCACTCTTGTCGACAAGAATACATATACGCGCGTTTGCCAATACCTCATTGGGTTTGTTGTCTCCTCTATTTGGCTCATTTATAGTGCTAATCTCGGTCTAGTTGTGTCAATTTGCTTCCACCCCCAGATGACATTGCTTTCCTTCGGACCGCTCACGCGATCTATGCGCGACTAAACAAGTTTCCGGAAGCTCTGGGAGATCAAGACCTCATTCGAGAGGACTTCAATACTCCCTCCAACCCGTACGTATGCTCTATCACGTAGCTTGCTATGCTGATCCACAACTCCAGACAAATGAAGAGACAACTCGCTTTTATCCTTGCACGAGCGCAAATACCTATCGAGTGGCTGCGTGCCAACCCAGACGACGACATCGACATAGAGGACGAGTTTCCGGAAGGCATCCGAGAATGTCTCAGCAACACGCGCCTTTCTACTCATTTGCGTGAATTCGGCAAAGAACTCGGTGTGACAGACGCGAAGAGCCTCGAAGAAGTTAACAAGACGCATCTTGAAAACACAAGTATGCATCACTCGCTTCACTATAATTTTTGCTGATATGAAACCAGGGCCAAACGCGCTTGCCAATGTCGACACCATCGAAACGTTGAAGGCGATAGAACACCCAATCGCCAAGACTACGCAGGTTATTGTGGAAGGGTGTGCCTTCGCTGGCGCAGGGAATGTACTGAAGATCCAAGCCATGCTGCACCACTGCGACGAGCATATCGTGGAGAAGAAAGAGGAGAAGAAGGACGACAAGAAAGAGGACGCTGCTACCACGACAACTTACTTCCCTGTGCCTGCGATGTATCCGAGGTTCCTGATTACCGTCGACGAGGAGCTCAACCCCAAGCCGGTAACGGTTCGGGTTGGACAGGTTCGTGGCTCTTTTTTGTGTCTGGAAAGGACATTGATATTTTGTTTCGCAGGCTCTAGATGTCGTTGGCCAAGCGGCAAACCTCGAACGATATCTGGTTTCCAAACACACCAGACACCTGTGAGGTTTGCTACCAAGGATCGTGCGGAGTTGGCAACAGAGGAGTACATCTCATTTGCGCCGGTGCTCGAAGGTATTGTGATCCTCCAAAAAAATCCAGGGTAGGACAAGATGGAGTTGTAGTCATACTTGAGTCATACCTAGAATTAACATTTACTTACTCGGAGGAGTGCATTCCGTTTACTTTTGTACTCGAGAACGCCTAAACAAGGTCTAATAGACACTACTTGAAATCTAAAATTATCTGCAATCACCATCAATCATGTGATGCCAGGGTCCCTTGCTTCCAACTTGAAGCGGCCCAGCTGGCCGTACGTTTAACGTACCATGACTGGGCCTGCAAAGCAAGCAGCAGCAGCGAGGGGGAAGAAACAGCCTACCAAGAAAAATGCCCGCCAACGACACGATACTTCTTTGCCCACTCAACTAGCAACGATTCAAGTTCCTCAGGCTGGGATGGCCGGGGGTCTGGAGCCAGTGTATCAACGAGGAGCTTATCCCACCCCAAGTGGCTTGTACGGACAATTCCAGGCAACGAGGACGATGGACAATGCGTCAAATGGGAGCTTCCACACCACTGGTATGTTTTTTTTCATTGTTTTGCCCATACTACACCAAATTCTGAAATACTCATATAGTGCCTTCAAAACGCAAGTCCAAAGACACTCATTCTTATGAGCCGTCGTCCCAGCAGAATCCAGAAAAGCGAATACGAATATCGACACTCGACCGCTTACAACGCGACTCCGACATTCTAAGCAACCCTACCTCACGACGTCAACCATCTACTTATTCCGGACCCTTGGACGTGGACCGCGACCCTATGGCTCCACCAATCGCAGTGTCGGTCAGTCTCCGTCATTCAGCGCCAATATTTCCGTCTAATTCTTTGATTCAGCGAAAGCGTAATGCTCAATCGAGCATACGGCCAAGTCCGCACCCAAGTCAACCTGCAATGTCAACGTCAGAGCGTGTGGCGAACCCTGCCGACACCAGAATGTCACTTGCCACTATGGTCGATCTTCGTAGTGCCCCAATCCAATCCCAAACTGTCAATCCCTCGAGTTGGCCGCCAAACTCCGAAAGTCGGAATCCCGTATGTTTCAATACTCTTCTCATTGTATGGCAATCGTCGCTGAGCGTTCTACAGGGGTTCTATCAAGAATTGCATCCCCAAAGCGATGACGACGATAACGAGTCCGATAATCCTCCCGCTGGTTCTTCTGGAGAGAGTGATGAAGACGACGCGCCCCGGGGACCCACCCTTTACCCACAATATGGAGCTCAACCAGGTGCGCTTTCCACTTGAGTTTGGAACACGGCTTAATTCCTTTCCTTCAGAGCATTATCCATACACGACAACCGAAGACTCGACTGATTTATCCAACCCGGTTTGTCCTCCTCTCCAATGACCCCGACTTCTCATCCATTGCAGCTACGAAATATCACATATGACGATATATTCGGCTCACCACTCGAGTCGCAACTTTCAACGCCTTCGAGCTCAAATGCGGTTTGCAGTTTTTTCTTGTCTTATCTATTGTACTAATCAAATCGGTAGGCTATGCCTACGTCGGAACTGTTGGGCCATACAGACCCCCAAATGCTTGGCACCACCAGTTCCTCGCAAATGCTCGACGCCGCTGGTCCTACTCGGTGGCAAACTCCGATTTCCCCGTCTCGTTCTGTCGACGCCGGTCTCAACCCAAACGCGCCGAGAAGTATTGGCCTCCGATCCCCCGAACCAACATTTCTTCCTTCAACTGCTATAACATCGCCTCAGCTCAACTCGAACCGTCACCAAGCTCAACAGCAAATTGATGTAAATCAACTTGAACGCGATGGTCCGAGTCGAATCAATGGAGGATTATCAACCAGCGGCCTGAACGAGCGTCGGAGCGGTCTATCTTCTGATGTAAGAGGGTTATCACAAGCTCTGAACTGTTAACTAACCCAGCGTGCAGCAGGAACAACAAATACAGCAGTCGACACCGGGTATTCCGGTTATTATGCTCGTAGATGCACTCCACTGCATATCAAGATAAGTTGCTAACCAACAAATTCTCAGAATGGTCAATCACACATACCCCACTCGCAAGGCGCTTCGAGTCAGAGTGACTACTCCCCCGTTAGTGCGATTGATCTCAGACTAAAATCTGTACTCATGTCTATCTATCTATCAGAGCTCGCAGCATTCTGTTTCCGGATTCACGGTAAACACCATCTCAAGGGCTTTCGATTACTGACTTTCAAATAGAATGGGTCACAACAGGACGTCGTCAATCAACACTGGCAAAAAAATGGAAACCCTCGACCACCCAACCCGGACTATCTTGATACTCGTCGCACTCCATCAATTGCAAGCAGCTCCAGGTCAAGTGCGAGCGATACCGGTACCGAATCATCTCAGCGTCAACGTCGACCCCGAAACTCCGTTCGAAAACATGACCCCTCCAACAAGGCGAATCTTGCATATTATTCCGGGACAGTCGCACACAAAGTTCTTGTGAGGGCGAAACTGATTCAAATACGTTACTACCTTATCGGGAGGATGTACCCCAGCCAGGAAGACAACCTGGCACAGGCCGGCCTCTCGTTCAACGAGGCCAAGAGTCAAATTGAATATGAGACTGGCGAGACTATTGAGCCCGGTAAGTATGAGTCTGTTGTATCAGTCAACCGACGCTAAAATTGTCGACAGAGTATAATACGCCCACAGCAGCGATGCTCAAGATTGTATGTTGTGTCTATCACTCAGCCATATGTTAATCGTTCACTAGATACAACAAATGGGAAGCTCCATGCGAAAAGCTTGTCGAGACCGATTGCACACTTTGCTGATCCAACAATTGGCACTCTACCCTGACACCGCTCGTCCCAATCCAGCAACGAATGCCGAATGGACGGCGGAAGAAATTGCTCAGCACGTGAAAGAAAGGGTTGCTTACCATTTGCGTGATCAAGAGACATCGGATCGATTCTGCCACAAGAATCATACTGACGATCCAGCAAGTATCATTCAACTTCCAGTGTGTTCATTGATTTGCTTGCAGAACCCGGACGAAGCGTACACAAGCCCCGAACTCGCAGCCGTTCTCAAAGCGTTGCTGTTCGAACCCACAAGCAGCACTCAGAAATCATATGCTGAAAGAGTTCCTGGGTTAGTCGACGGGAGAATAATCTATGGCTGCCTTGTATTTGTCGCTGTTCTTGTGCGTCATTTCCTCACTTGTCGACTGTGTTGCTGAATGATTTTGCTTAGATGCGGCATTGTCTGGATGAGCATGCCAGCGGTGTTTACCGCGCCCTGGAGATATCGTCCGACAATTACGAAGACTACTTTGACTCGGTTGAAGACAATCTCGCCCAAAGCCTCGAGGTCCCTGAGACGAAGCACTGCATTGATACATCCTTGGCGCAATGGTTGCGAGAAAAGTGTGTCTTTTCATCATTCCATTTTGTCACTGACCGCGTTACAGGAGATGGGGGGCAGTGTCGAAGTCGCCGTTCACGCTGAAAAAGAGGAAACCACTGGGAGCGAATATGCTGCGAGCTGCAGCGAACTACGCAGCTTCCAACGCCGCGTCGTCTTCGGGTGGATTCCATCAAGGAAACTTGGGCAATGGGCAGCGAAACTTAGGCAACGAGCAGCAAATGGGGATGACGCGCGCTTGGGTTAGTGGACATGGGCCGGGGTATGGGCACGCAGCGGGGTAAGGGCAAATGTGGAGAAAGCCTTAGTCATTACTGGACATTCGAATACAATCAATAGGCCGCAATGGCCCGTTTCTACAAATTTGGACGCCCCGCCCGACGCCGTGATGACCGAAAATAGTCAGATGCAGATCTCCTTAGCGAGCTCATAGCAGGCTCATAGCGAGCTCATAGCGGATCCCACTCATAGCTTCATAGTACTCTATAGTACATCGACAGCTATGCCACGCCTATGGAGTTCTCTGTAGCGAGGAAGTCGCTATGGCTGTTTCGAGCTGTGAAGGAGCTGTGTAGCTCTTCAGAGCAGCGTTCGGATTCCTGATGCTGTCTCAGCGCTACGCCCTTCTTGCCAATCAGTTGTCTGATGAGTCGGATGGCGAAGAAGAAGACCGCGAGACAAGTGTGAAGTCCCTCGTTAGCACCCAGGTTGGCAATGCGCCGACTAAATCAGCAGAGACTGCTCTCTCGGGTCATAGCAGCGCTAGCCGCTACCACCAGACTGACACTGGGTTAGTAGAACCAGTCAGTGCTGGGCCTTCCCGCGATAAAGGGAAGGGCATTGACCCCGGCAACTGGGGTAATACCTCACTCAAGGATTATGATGATGTAGAGCTGGCGGCCGAAATTGAGGCCCAGCGGAATGCATTCGCGAATTTTGAGGAAATCAATCGCATCATCAAACAGGAGCCCATCTCGACGCCCCCAGGACTCTTCAACGTCCCTGCATCGCCTACAGCAACCGTAGATGAGCCCAGGGCTCCTGCGCAGCCCGCCATCGTGCTCACTCGGGTTGAGTCGCCCCCCACCCAGGAAGGGAAAGGCAAGGCTGACTCGCGGGCTGCTGCTAGGCGAGAATCGTCCGGCCAGGCCGCAAGCGAAGACATTGCGGCAGTGCGTAACGAGATGAATGCACAGTTCGCTCGCTTAGAGCAGCTGATCTCGGCGCAGAAACCAGCAAGGGCTTCGGAGCGTGCCAAGGCGCGCAAAGCTCTGGATGAGCATCTGGAAAATACTAGCAGCGATAACCCTCGCCGTGTTCGTGCGACTCCGCGTCGCATGGCCGTCCGCGGCTTTATCGCGAAGGCTATCGGAGAGCTCCCGAAAGCGACTGCAGACCTGTCAACCCCGGATCCGTCAGACGGCTCCAGCAGCTCGGACTCTGGTGAGTCTGGCCGCGGAGGCAGCGGTGATCGGAGGAACGGCAGACGCAGCCCGGCAGCTACTCCTCAGGACGGAGCGCCCTCACGGTCCGAGAGCCGAGGCCGCCCCACCGGGAAAATGCGGATTAAA